ACTCTTTATGTAGCATGCCTCCAGAGAGACCACGTGGACAGACGAGTGCTCATTTACCCACCAGAAAATTTTCCAGCTTCAGTCTTCCATTAGTTAGAAAGAGACAAAGATCAATTAAAAGAAGAAATAAACAAAGATAGTAATAGAGGGAAAGTGTATACATGAGACACAGAAGGCAAAGGAAATTGATGTAATGAAAAATATAAGATAGAAGATGTGAATCTGCATCACTGTTCAAATTAATGCATATTCTCAGAGTTGGTTGTTTGAAAAGTGGAAGTTCTTCTACAATCAGGAAGTTCAGTAAGGAATAAATGATAAGGAAATGTTGTGAGGTGAACCAAAATGTTACCAGAATTCAGGTTCTTATCTTACCAAGAGAAAGATTTATCTTTAGAAGACATGGAGCATCACAAGAGAATTTTAGTAAGAGATTTCTAAAGAGGAAGAAATCCTTCCAGCCATCAGGGCTGGTCTTAGTATTTCTAGTCTCCCTGTGCATATTGAGCCATTTTTGGAATTTGTATGTGTAGTAGATACTTGAGAATGCCCATTGGTGGAGGAAGGGATTCTGGGAAATGTAGTGCTAAGGTATTGTCTAACACTCTATGCATGTTCTCTCCAAATCTCTGCCTCTTCTCCCTAGCCCGCTCTCATTTCATACACATAATTCTTCATGGATTCAGGGGTATAGTTCTCTCCTTCTGTAGCTGCCTCCTTTTTTATGTGGTGTGTAGTATCATCACCCTGCCTACGTAAGTAGAAATCCCTCCTCAGCCAGTCTAGAGTAAGAAAAGCCAGCTCTTTCAGGTGCAGATTCTGGAGTTGAGGCTGTGCATCCATCATTCATAGGCCTAGACTTGGTCATGATCTGCAGTCTAGATTTCCCCAGGATTGACTGGGTCCCTTCTTTCAGAAAATTTCATTAACAGTTACGCACAAAGGAAAATTCTTAATGATAATGAGACAAAATAAAAGAAGGGGAAAATAGATTGGTAGCCATCAATGCTATGTCTGTCTAAGAACAATACAAGACTAAAAGTACATATTAGTACACATTTCTCTCTCCTCTACTTCACTCAAAGATTCTTAATCTTTTATAGAAAAAACATGTTTCCAGGGGGACAGTGGGCCAGAATTTAGGTACCTGGATAGACACTATGAGTTCGTTTCTACCAAACCTTCAGTGAACTACAAGATGGACTAAGCACCAGGACAACCATGGAGGCTAGCAGGGCAGGCAGTAGGATACAACACAGGGGCTACCACAGAAGTACTTAACACAGAGACCCCGCTGAATGAAACGAATCCTCCCTTGAAGCTGCCTGCACCCTTGGACTGAGGGCTAGGGCTAGGCTGGGAGAGGAAGCAGAGGCTGGGTGCCCCAGGATTGTGAACGTGGCAGTCATTGGACCATAGATGGAAACCCTGGCTCAGTGGGTATTCAATGGAAAGGGACCCAGGATCATCATACATGTAGTACCTCAATACTCACCCTACAGTGATACCACAGGTTGGATACATGGAGCAGGGATTTGCACTTGAAGGAATGGACCCAGGAAGGCCCCCACTGGCATCAACCCCCATACTTAAGATCAACAGCCCAATTGAAAGAGAGATCGAACTGTGCAGGACAAAAACTCATGGGTTGCGCCTCAAGGTGGAACTGTAGTTGCATACACTCATCATACCGACAGTGTCTGGAGTGCTGGGTCACTGGGGAAATTGATTATGAAAATAGTGCAATTGATAGTGTATTACAAGGAGGTGTTTGATAATGCTGTACTTCTTTGTTTATATGGGCTTTTGGTTTCCCCTTGTAGCTTGCTTTTTTGTGTTTTGTTGTTATTCTTTCTTTCTTTTTCTTTTTGGATGTCTGTTCTGTTTGTTTGGTTGCTGGTTGGCTTATGGCTGCTATTGATGCAATTGATATTATAGGGTTGTGATTTTATAATATTATTACCACTGTCAAAGTAAACCTGAGACACGCAAAGCCCATGGACAAGCAGGTGGAGTCTGGGCTCCTACTTAACTCTAGCCACAATTCCAGAATAGTTAGTTCTGATAACATATCCTGGTACTATACACACCTTTATGAAATGATCACCCAAGATAAAGGTGCTATAGCAAAGTGTGGTAAAGAATGTAGATGGTGCCCAACTATCCATCAGAATGGTGTCTGGGGTCTAAAAAGGCTTGTTTTCAAACAAGCAGCCATCTAAGCAAGAAGTCAACTAAGTCCACACAGAAGAAGCACACCACCTTGTGTGATTCAAAGATAATTAAAAAATTTAAATCTGGCGAAGGCAAAAATACCAGAGCTAACATTATGAACACCCAATTTGTAGAAATCTATGGAGGACAATGGGGTCCCAAAATCATCTGCAGAGAATCTAGTCCACGGTTCACAACCTGTTGGTTGTGACCCCTTTGGGGGGTCGAACAACCCTTTCACAGGGGTCGCCTACTTCATAACACTAGCAAAATTACAGTTGTGAAATAGCAATGAAAATAATTTTATGGATAGGAACTGAAAATACAGGGAATCCAGGACGGATGAGCCCTATAGGACCAGTGGTGTGAGTGGCAAAACAGGGAGGGTAAAGGGAGAATGGGTAGGAAAGAGGGAACCGATTACATGGAACTGTGTGTGACCTCCTCCCTGGGGGACAGACAACTGAAAAGTGGGTGAAGGGAGGCATCGGACAGGGCAAGATATGACAAAATACCCATTTATAAACTATCAAGGGCTCATGCGGGAGCGGGGAGTGGGGAGGGAGGGGAAAAATGAGGACCTAATGTCGGGGGTTTAAATGGAGAGAAAATGTTTTGAGAAACGATGTACAAATGCGCTTTACACAATTGATGTGTGTATGGATTGGGATAACAGTTGTATGAGCCCCTAATAAAATGTTAAAAAAAAAAGAAAAAAAGAAAATAATTTTATGGTTGTAGGCTCACCACAACATGAGGAAGTATATTAAAGGGTCGTGGAGCTAGGAAGGTTGAGAACCACTGATTAAGCAGGGGCAGATTCTCTCTAGCAACAGGCAAGAGTCTCGAACTGCCTTATTATCAGGCAGAGACCATTGCGATCTTGATTATGCTTGATTGCACTGGGTATTTGGCCAGATGACCTCCCTGTAGACTGAACCAGAATTGGTTCTGGGTGCAAGTATCTCTTACTTGTTCCATGACCGAAAAATTTTCCCTGATTTTGGAATGTTGATGAGGGCCTTTTCTTTCTTACTCATTATTTGCAGTTTGGTCCACATATTATTATTATTTTATCCTTATCACTTTATTTTGAATTTTGGTTTTTATTGTTTCTGTTTGGCTCCCCAGGGTGTTATGCACTGCAGGAGTGGCTCTATGGTGATAATAACTGATACAAGGGTTGACAGGGGATGATGGGGTGGGGAGTGGGTAGTAAGGAAAAGGGGATTTCAGGAATAAAAAATGAAGGAGGGAGATGGGGAGGAAGCACTAGAACTGACTGTGATTGCACAGTTCATTTTAAAGGTGATTTAATCATGGTGGGGAGATGTTCTAAAATTGATATGTTAATGATTGTACAATTCTCTGTGATATGACTGAATGACTGAACTAGTGAATTGTATGATATGTAAGTTATGTGCTAATAAAACAGTTATTAAAAAAAAGAATAAAGAAAGACATTTTTGTTAACTGTCTTAGTGAGTCCACAAAGCTAAAGTTTATCTGTAAGTGACAAAATTTGCTATAGCCTTAATTAAGTCATAGTTTTATATATATGAATATATATAGTGCATAGTAATATATATGTATAAAGACTTGAAAATTCCCAAACCAATGCAGAGCCAAACAAAGTGAATTAAAAGTCAGAATGAATGTCCCACCAAACTGAAAAAGTAGATTATTATACTATTATTATTATACTAAATTATATTAAAATACAATGCTTTCTAGTTTCAGGTATAGCATCAAACTTATCAAAATTTCTGTCATTGTTTCTCAGTTGCATAACAGAAATCCTTGTAATGATCTATTCCCAATTTTTTCTCAGCTTCTATTGACCTAATGTAATTAATATGAATATTAACATTTATTTGAACTAGCCATGCTATTGAGCTTTGTGTTTTACTTTGCCTTAACCCTTTAAATAACAATGATCTGACTGCTAATTTAGTAGAGTAAGATAATTATGTAACATCTTCTGAAAGATTTGAAGGCCAAAGCTGTAATTTATAAGCTATATAAACTATGTTTTAATAAACAGGTTTGTCAATTTTGGCTAGAACCTGATTCAGATATTAAGAGGCCTCTTCATATGCTAACTATCCTCTGGGACTTTTGAGATATAAATGCCCTTGTTCTAAGAAATTAACAGATCCATCAGTTGTTTACTAGACTATAAATAAATCTACTAAAAATTATCTAATGTCATAAAAGCTTTAAAACATTTACATTGTTTTAAGCACCTCTTATAATAACTCTTAAGCACAAAAAAGAACATGTTTGTTTATTTGTTTGTTTTTAATAAGCTAATTTTTATTTATGCTTACACAGCCAAAACTGCCTAGAGAATTGTGAATCTTTACTACATTCATTCTAAAAATAACCTGCGGGGAAATCTTTAAAGTCCCTCTAATTTTAATGCAAAATACGCTAGTTTTCCTTCAACAAACTTATTTGAAAGCCCCAACATGTGGAACAAACTTATTTGAAAGCCCCAACATGAATTTGCATGTCATCCTTGCACAGGGGTCACGCTAATCTTCTCTGTGTTGTTCCAATTTTAGTATGTGTGCTACCGAAGAAGCATCTTTGAACATGGTTTTTAGGCAGACTTAAACATAGATACATCTTTTCTTTAAAAAAAGATATGTGAATTTCCAATTATAGGAAGCAATGTGTAACTCAATTTAACATTAGCTAATAACTTACAGCTCTTGATCCTAAAGATATATACAAAAGCAATGTGTGTGTGTGTGTGTGTGTGTGTATAGCAACTTTAGGGATAGCAAGTTTATAAATATAAGATATATCTCATATATTAAGGTATAGATTTTAATTTGTTCCTTATAATATTAAAATAGTTAGGTTTATAAGTATGTACATGTTATAAAATCAAAGTTGAACACTTAAGGCAGGCATATCCTTATACACTGCACATAATTATCATACAGAAGTAAAATATATTTTTAATAACATTTTGTTTACAAGGCTTTCTTATACTAATTAAAATAAATACTACACTCTTTAGAAGAACTGTCCTATTAAAAATATATAAAGCAATTTATTAAAAGAGGAAGGAAGAACTTGGAAACTGTTTTTAAAGTAAGATGAGATTTCCAAAATATAGGCTTATTTATGCTAACCATCTATGGCAAAGAGCAAACAAAGGCCTTTTTAAAAAAAATTTTTTAAAGAAATCAATCAGCTTATACATATAACCTGTTTTTCCCTAACCCCAGTTATACTGTGAAATAAATCTGTCTTAAAACACTCAAATCAAATCAATTGTTCTTTCCCTACTTCAGACTCACAGCATGCCCAATACAGGATGAAGAAGAGAAAGGCCTTTGCACTTCATAAGCTCAAGGAACAACCACCT